ATCTTTTAAAAAAAGAGAGAAAGAGAGAGGCAAAGAGAGAGAATCTTAAGCAGACTCCCCGCCCAGCATGGAGCCTGACATGGGGCTCTATCTCACAACCATAAGGTCATGACCCGAGTGGAAATCAAGAGTCAGACGCTTCACCAACCGAGCCGCCCAGGTGCCCCAGCAGTGCCATTCCTGAGAGTCAGAACATGGAAACGACCCATCAGCTGATGACCGGACACACAGTGTGTGTCTCCAAATGGAATGTTACTCAGCCATCGGAAGGACGGAAGTGACGATTCATACTATGACACGCGGTGGGGCCGGCGGGGCAGGGGGTGCCTGGAGAGCCTTATGCTAAATGACAGAAGGAAGTCACAGCAGCCAAGTATTCTAGGACTCCATTCACATTAAAGTCCAGCATAGGGAAAGCTATAGAGACAGAAAGTGGGGGTTGCCTAGGGCCAGCAAGGGAGGTGATAGCAAAAGATTCGGGGTTTTGGGGGGGAAATGACAAAAATGTCCTAAAAGGGACTGCACAGATCTATGAATACACTGAAACCCATCAGACTGTACACTTCAAGTGCGTGAGTGGTACGGTATGTGAGTTGCAGCTCAATAAGCCTGTTTTTCAAGCTACAGGGGAGGGGAGGGGGAACGGGGCTACTGAAGGTTTATTCTAAAAGATGCTTCCTTTCAGGTAGAACCGATGTGCAAAGCGTGCGTTCCCTGCCTGCATCCATGAGGTGAGGAAGGAGCTCCCTTCCTAGATGCATGTCACACAAGCCGATGGCCAGCCGGGACCCAAGAGGTGAGTGGGGCGTTGCCACGCACGGGCCTATGGGTGCCAGCCTGTCACAGCCCAGGGATCCCCGGGGGCACTGGGATGAGGATGGGGGCACTGCTGAGCCCCCAGGGGCATGAGCTCTCTCTTTACTGCAGAAACTGCCAGGCTCCGATGACTACGGTGTCCTCGCTCCTCAGAGTTCATCTTGCCTTGGCAATGGCCTCCTCCTAAGCAGGGCCTCTCTCATGCCAGGGAAATCTGATCTTATCGCCCTCACCCCCGGCCTACAGGATGAAGTCCAAGCTCCCCAGCCTGGCAGGAAAAAGCCCTCTCCCTCCAACCTGTTCATCCTGCAGTTCCCCACCCCCCGGAGGCATCCCCACACGTACCCGACGGCCCGGGAAGCACCGTCTGCCTCATGAACCCTCCTTGGGCCCTTCTTCCAGCAGGAGCCATTTGCTCCCTCCTCTGACCCACCAGGGCGCGCTGCACCGAGCCAGCACCACCAGCACCCCGTCCCTTCACAAACACACAGACACAATTCCTACGTGGCAGGAATCATGTGTGGCAGTGGGGATCCCGGTGAGCTCAACGTGGGTGCGATCTCTGCCCCTGTGCGGCTAACCACCAGATGGACAGAGAGTAGCAACCACTAGAGCATCAGGCACTTCCCAATGGAGGGAAGGAAAAGCAGAACCTTATGAGGGCCTAGGGTGGTGGGTGTGTCCTTAGGTCACCAGGGAGGCCTTCCTAAGGGAGGAACACCTGAGCTGAGAGCTAGGGGAGAAGAAGGAATCCCAAGCACGAGGACGGCTGGGGCAAAGGCACTGAGGTGGGCAAAAGTGCAGAGCTGGAGGGCGGAGGTGGGCCGAGGTGAGGATGCTGGGGGGAGGCCACGGGCAGATCACGCAGGCCTCAGGGGCCTGGTTCAAGACTGAATGAAGTCTTCATTATCACTGCGAAGAGAAGGCACAGAATGGTCTGACACCAGGAAATGTAGCGACCAAGTCTGTGTGTGCCCGAACTCATCACTCTGGGGGCTGTGGGGCAGTTCCTGGTTTCCCCATCAGCCTTGCCTCAGGGCTAGGTCCTCACCTAGTGCTTGCGGAGCACTTACCAATCTTCTAGCTGATCGAGGTGGGGAAGAGCTGTCAGTTTAGACTCAGACCCGCCCCCCTTCCGAGCTCCTTCAGGGAAAACCCCAGGAAGATCCACCTAGACAGCCCCACATGCCCCACAGAACATAACCACTGTGACCCTTCTGGGCGATTCTGGGGCTGGAAGGGGCTGCAGGAGGACCATCCCCCAGCCCCTCCTCCCAGGTGGCCATGGCTGTCACAGTGAGAAGGTTCTCCATGCTCCCCAGAGGAAACAGATCAAGAGGGCTGAGCACCCTTGAGCATTGCGATGGGGACCCTCGCACCACCCCAATCCCACTGGCCTACATGGGCAGGGCCCCCCCAGGTCTGTTCAGTGACAGCTGACCCTTGGGCAGAGCCGTAGCAGCACCAGGCCGCTGGCTCCACATGAACCCCGGGGCAGAAAAACAACTGAATCATCCTGATGATTCTCCAAGCAAAGTTCTCTTGGGGCCAATATTTTAAAAAAAAAAAAAAAAAAAAGGCTTGGGGAGGTGGTTTCTATGGCAACCTGTTTTAGTGATCTGCAGTGAACCCCAGGCCCACACCCTCCAACCTGTCCTCAAAGGCAGCCAGGAAAAAAGCATTAACCTCTGAGCTCAGAGAATTCCTTTCCATCACAGGCTGGAGGCTTCATGGAAGCATCCCAGGGGCAGAACGCTTTAGGTCTGTCAGGAAGACCTCAGAAACACCTCTTCCTCGTCTCACTTCTCCTGGGACCTGAATACGGCATCTGGAGAAGACCCTTCGAGATGAGCCCCTTCTGGGCCAAAATCTTTGTTTCCTTACTCACACCAAAGGCAGAAAGGCCAGCTTTGCAAACCCAAGCCCTGGGCTTGGCCTCTCTGCCACGGACCCTGTGCTCCCTCCCCACCCAAGCCAACAGCCCCTTGTTAAAGTCTTGCATGAATATTAAAACAAGAACCTGAAAACAAGCGGCATGACCAAGGTCACGTGCCAATTTATCTGGTCTGGCTCTGAACCCTACAGGTCAACTCAGTCAGTGACTTGGTGGCAGGAGGGAGGCCGGGAGTAGCCAAGCGGGCCTTCCCCCTGGCCCTCACCCGGAGTCCCTCTGTCCCCCTCTTCACCAGCCCCCGCTGTCTCCTCTCTTCCCTAGGCCTCTGGAAAGCTCAGCCTATCACCCTTTTCCCCAAAGGATTGTTCTCTTCACAAAGGAGGAAACGTCCCGGCCTTATCAGATATCCGGCTTCATGCTCGAGCACAGAGTGCAGTGAAAATTTATCCCAAAAATACCAAGGCTGGAAGGTTACACTGAGGTCACCTCAGTCATCTGAGGGCTGGCTGAGCTGTGTGTGCCCTGGCTGGGACAGACTCCAGGGACCCAGTCCAAGGCTTCCCGGGGAAACGCACGCAGTGGCTGAAACCATGAAGCCCCACGTCCCCGCATCCCCACCCCCGCCACCTTCTCCTGTAACCTTGTCTTCCACCCAGATCGGAACTCGGGGACCCAGTTCTCCTTCACTATTTGGCCACCACCTGCCCGGGGCTGTGGGCACATGTGTGATCACGGGAAGTGAAGGATGGGAGCCCCCCACTCCTCGGGGCAGTCGTTCCCAAACTCCCAGGGGCTGCCTGGGGGCTACCGCCCTTGATGCTGGTGAACAGAGCAACACAGGTAATAGCTGCGGCCACCTCGAAGTCCCAGCTGCAGGAGCAGAATGCCTGCACGCTCAGCAAACAGTAGGCACCTCTACATACACAGACATTTACTTCTCATGGCAACCTGGCCGTCCTCAGGACTAGAAACTATCTGCATCCCCATTTTACAGAACAGGAAACTAAGGCTCACGGAGGTCACATGATCAAAGTGGCCTTGAGCAGTGTAAGAACCACTTCACAGGTTTGGCGTCGTGCACTCTGACCAACGTTGTAGGAGGTTTTCCTGGTCCTGATACCATCTCACAAATAGGAAAATGGGAGTGTAGGGAGGTTAGGGAGGAGCCTTGGGTGCGCCTTGCCCATGGCCCCCAGCCCTATGAAAGCATGAGGGACTTTGGGCCACAGGCAAGACAAAGGCCCTGGAGGACATGACATGGGGACAGCACCCGCCCCCCACCCCTGCCCCGCAGGCAGGGGGCCACCAGCGGGGCCACCAGCAGGGCCACGAGCAGGGCACAACTGCTTTTGGGCTACTTGCACATGGGAAGTGGGAATCCGTGGCAGATCCGGCCAAGAAGGGGGAGAGCCATGGGGAAACAAGCAAGGGAGGCTGAGGTCACGACCACAGACACAGGCGGGAAAGAAAATGCTTCAGCAGGAGGGCTACTGTGTGGCCAAGGAGGCTAAGGAGAGTCCCCTTTGTGTGGCTACAGAAGGACAGGACATCAAATCTCCAATTATCACACACTGAAAAGCACACTCAAAGATCCCCTCCCAGCAGGGAGGCCCTCCACGTTGGCTATATTTCACTGATAATATGACTCTGTTTTTCAAGGGGACGAATCATGGTCTCATCTACAACAGAGAAAACACAGGACAAGTCAGTGGGGACAAAGGTAGCGCCTCCCAAGGTGGGCGGTGGGTCACGGAGGGGTCAAGGCCGTGGGGGGATGGGGGACGAAGGCAGGGAGGAGGGAACAGCGGCCATACTCAGAGACCAGCACACAGGGGTCCAAGCAATGAGCACGGGGGCGGGGGAAGGGGGGGCTGGTGTTCTCTACCAAGGCAGGACCTGGGGAGCTGGGCAAGCTATTCTACCTCAACAGCCCCCAGGGATCCCTTTCTCAACATGAGGCAGGAGGGTCCCAGCCCCGGTGCCAACTCAGAACCATGGACCGAGACTGTGTGTGCTGCGCGGGCAGAGGCCACATCTGGACAGGGCAGCACTCTGATCAGTAATGCTCATCTACCCCGGCAGAGAGCGCAGGGTGAGCTGACCACACCCTGGCTGGATCCTGTCTGACACCCAAGGAGACAGAGGCCCTGGCAGGGAGGTGCCCACCCACAAGCACAAATGCTGGGAGCAGCAGGACCACGACCCCGGACTAGACGGCAAGACAGCCATTGAAGTTCTAGAAGCACACAGGGCCATTCTGGGGCCGTCCCTCCTCACTGTCCTCGCTCACCTGGAACCTGTGCACCAGCTCCAGGGACTGGCTGTCGTTCTGGTCGGCTTCGAGGATGACATCGGTCAGCTTATGGATGATGACGTCCAGGGGACCCTGCTCCTCAATCGGCCGGCTAAGGTTCAGCTGCCAGGGAAAGGCGGGGAGGACACAGAGAAAAAGAACAACTTCAGCACCTGAGCCACTGCCCGGCTGTCTCCCCCCAACCCACCCCTGCCCATCCCTGCAGCCCTGGGAGAGCGGGCAGGAGGAAGGCCGGCACTCATGGGAAATACAAGCAGGACAAAAGGCGCAAACCCACTAAGCTTCTAGAACGCCCCCAGGGCAGGCCCTATGTGCGCATTTCTGTCTCCGAGCCCCCACAGCACCCTGGATACCCAAGACACACACGTGGAACCAAGGCATCTACGAGTTAAGCGACCGTCGCTGTGCCGTCGCTGTACAGAGAAAACATCTACTGGACACGCATGATCTGCTCAATGACCCCAATGTTTCAGGTCGGGAAACCAGGGCTCTGCGAGGCGAAGCCAAATGACTGAAGTCACACGGCCAGGTCTAAAGTGAGATCCAGGCAGGTGCTCTTCCCACGGAGCGACGGCCTCAGCAGAGCTGCGATCCCCATGCCCGAGAGGCACCACCCCGAGAGACGGGCAGCTCGTGCTTCACCTTGAAATCCAGCCTCATCCCAGACACCGTGAGGGAGTGCGGGGTGGCCCTGCTGGCCCTGCCCCACAGGGGGCCCTGTTTGTTTTTTCAAGAATGCTGGGTTAGGGAGATCGAATCCCCAGGGAGCCAGACCCACCGGCTGACAGAGTGTCAGTATCACCTGGCCCCAGGGCCGGAGCAGCTGCCAACAACCGGGCAGCCCGACCGCACGCTCCCTGACCCGCCAGATGTCTGCCGCCCGGCACGCGGCCACCACCAGCTGCAAGGCCAGGCCCCTGGAGGCAGCGGCGACAGCCCGGCACCTGGCTGACCCCCCAGATGGCCTCAGCAGAGGCCAGAGAATGTCATCAGCCCCACCCCCACTCATCCCCCCCCACAAGCAGGGCTCCCTCCAGGATTCCAGGCTGTTTCCAAGTTGCTAGTAAAGAAACCACAGTGTCCGCTCTGGGAAGGCATGGCGCTAGAAATGGTTTTTATTTTCCAACCACGTGATGAAAGGTGATTTCACAAATGAGGAGAGTGGGGAACACGGACTTTTGGAATCCCAGGCCCCCTCACCCCAGGGTCTGACAGCGAGAAAGTGGAGGCAATCAGATGCAGATCTGAAGCCTGGAGCGAGCTTGCCATCCAGTGCAAGCCCCAGCCCCAAGCCCACTCTGGGCCCCGGGAGGCTGGGCTCTACAGCCACAAGCAGCTGGCCGCCCTGTCCTCTGGCTTCTGGCCGAGCGGCCGACGGAGGCACATGAGAAGATGGGGGAGAGGGGGAGAGAGATGTCCGGGTGTCTGCTCCCACTGTCCTCACACCCTCGCCGTATTTCTGGCACAGACACCCCCTGTCAAGCAGGCAGCTCCTCTCCCAAGCCCTCCACTGTCTCGAGAGCTCCCCGCCCCTGTCCCCTCGAGCCTGGGGTGGTGACAGTTTGCCCCGCTGTGGGGGCCGCGCCACATCTCGCTGGCGGCTCTGACCCAGCTCCCACCTTGTTATCCTCTCTTAGTTAAACTCTTGTCTCGTCAAACCTTCCGAAAGTATCAGCTAAGTACCAATATTTAGCTTTCTTAGGTCTTCCGAAAGTACCAGTACCTTAGCTTTTTTTTTTTTTTTTTTCTTTTTGGCCTGAGAGAAAGAGGTTTCCCCTCCTTAAAAAAAAAAAAAAAAAAAAAAATCCCACGGATCTCACAATAATACTGCAGGAGCCTCTTCCCACCACAGGGTGACCAGCCTGGATACAATCCCGAACAAGTCCGACTAGCGGAGAAGCCGGCCATTCCCTCCAGGGCTCCTGGATGGAGAAGGGAAGCAACGCTTGCCGTCCTCACAGTCTCACTGTCACAGACCAGGACACCAAGAGGCCAGGGAAGAAAAGTCACCGGGCAAGGCCTGGTGGTTGGGAAGTGGCCCCGGGGGCGGGGGGCGGGGGGGGGGGGGGGATGGTGCTGGAGGCCCAACAGCAACACCTGCAGGCTGAGTGTGCAGCCGGTGTCCTGGGCCTGTGCACCAGCCTGGCTCCTCATGCCCCACCCCCGACCGGGCCTCAGTTTCCCCTCCAATACACACAGGAACTTGGGAGGACCCTTCTGCCCGCGGAGTCGGGATTACCTTCCCATCCAAACCCACTTCCCAGGGAAAACAAGACAAAACAAGGAACAGAATTGGAAGGAAGGGGAGCAAAGCCAGTGGGAAGTGGTACCCTGAGCAGAGAAGCGCAAATTCTCAGAAGACGCCCAGACGCAAACCTACTTTGGCTGTACCTGCGGCTCCACCGTGACGGGTACCACAAATGAGAAGCCCATCTTTTCAGACCGAGGCAGCTAGAAACAGCAGAGAACTGGGTCACATGGGTGAAGCCCCATCCCCGCCAGCGTGCACATCTCCAGGGAGGAGCTGCTGGGTCTCCTGTACGGCAGGAGGGGACAGAAATGTGTCCCAGTGGGTTTGGGGAAAGGAGATGCCCCTGGCTCGTCCTGGCCTGGCACCAGCCTGGGGCCCGCAGACCTGACAAGCGGGGGTGTTTGGAAAATAAGCTCTCTGCATTCCCGGCCGTTCCAATGAAGGTAAACAGTTGAGTTCTGGAAGCCGGCCACCTCCCTTTGTATATTTTCCAAGCATTTTTATGCCAGTAAAACCATTTCGTGAGAACAGCAACTTGGGACACACATCAGGCCTGGTCTGGTCCTGGCTTGGCCGTCTGTCACTGCAGCATCTCTGCTGAGACCTGCCTGGAGTGGCCACTGACTCCAGAAGGTTCTCCAGCCCAGCTTCTCCTCAAGCGGCTAGATAAGCCACATTCACATGAAGGGTCTATCCTCCTGCAAAGACCTCAAGGGGACTCAAGTCTCTCCCTGCTGGCTGGGAAGGAGAAGGTGGGCCCTCTGGGGCTGCCACTCAGGAGGGGGGCTCAGGCAGGGTCCAGGCACACCACAGGAGAGCAGGCCGGCTCCCAAGAACCCAGGACACTGCAGAGGAGCAGACCCTGGTGGCCCAGGCTTCATTTCACAGATGGGGTGGGGAGGGGAGCTCAGATGAAAAGGAACTCAACTGTCATTTTGCTTTTCTGACCACACTCTGCCCCCAGAAAAAGGGAACTTTCCCAGAGACTTGTTGTGGTCTGCGGAAGGGTGCTGATCTGTCCCTCAGCCAGTTACAAGGAGGTCTCAACGAAAGGGCCGCCCCCTGTGGCCAGAAGAGGCCTGTGGGTGCCATGCTTCCAAGTCACGCCACCCTGTGAGGCCAAGGCTGGACACTGTTCCGCACAGAGCTCAGAGCTCAGGCTTCGGAGGGAACAAGGGCTCACTGTTCCCCTCAGAGACTATGACAGGAGGCTGGCTGGCGGTCGGGGAGGGCGAGAGGAGTTGGGACAAAGGCCTCCAAAGCCCAGTGGCTGGAATGTGACCTCTGACTTCCGCAGCAAGTAACCCAGTCACGCCCAGCCCAGGATCCCAGGTGAGCTAGTGTCTGACTACTCCCGTGAGCCCCAGCAGCTGCTCAGGAGGGAGGAAGATGGGCACGGCAGACACCTGGAAACCCCATCGCAGCTTGGCTGCCCCGGGCTGGGCAGGCGATGTAACTGCTCCGTGCCTCAGTTTCCCCATCCATAAAACGAGGGCGTTCCTACTCCCGACACTTCGTGGGCTGTTTGGGTGGGTTAGAACATCGCATTTAGAGATGTGACGCAGGGCTGATGCAGAGTGGATGCAGTAGTAACACCGCGGAGTGCTCGGACAATGTCCCGCCACAGCTCGCTGGCTCATTCATTCGACAAGCATTCTCTGCTTGTCCTAGGTGCCAGACACAGACAGCCCCGGCGCTCCCTTCTGGGGGCTGTCCATCAGTAACAGGACTGTCCCGGCGCACTGTGGCAGCAGAACCAAGATACAGCCGCGTGCCGCTCTAGGTCCTGCCTGGGAGACGAGCTCCCTCTCCCCAGAATGTCCCCCGGCCCCACACCCCTTCGTCCACACAGGGACCTTGCACTCATTTTCCAAGTCTCAGCTCCACAGTTCAATCCTTTTTCAGACTTCTCAATTCACTGCACCCCAAACAGGACAATGTGACGGCTGTCTGGTCTCACCCAGAGGCCCAGGACCCTTTGCCTCTCCCTCCACGACTGCAACCTCACTGCCCAAGATAAAGTCATTGCTCTAACTGACCCTACCACACCAGATCCTGAGATCCCAACAACCAGCGCTGAGCCTCGCCTCCCCAGGACCTAGAATGGTGGCTTGAGGTAAGAGGAGCTCGCCGAATGTGTGCTAAATGCCACTGATGTTTCAAAGAACAAAGTGAACACTGCAGACCAACTAGAAGGCACATTCCACGAAGCGGGGGGATTCTTTCCAGCCACGGGGGTTAGAAACAGCCTCCTGGAGAAGGAGGGAGAGGGAAAAATGGAGCAAGGAAGGTATAACGCAGGCAGCAGGAGTGGCTGCAGAAATCATCTGCATTTGATTCTCCACTTGCACTTGGGCAACTGCAAATGCCTGGGGGGCCATAGGCTACCACGTCTGCAGAAAGAGCTCGTCCTACAGCACAGACCCTGGGTTGGCCCCCTGGGAGGGGAGGCCTAGGACCACCCCTCTCGCGCTGCATCTACAGGTTGGAAATGGGATCCTAGAGGACCAGGCACGACTGGAGTTGTGCTATAGTGTGAACACCTAATAAATCCTGAGTGTGTTAAGGTAAAATATGGAGATTGTGGGCTTGAACAGTTAGCCCGCCCTAATACAGTCCCCCGAGGAGAGAGCATGTATGCAGTGGAGGACAAGGATACCCCAACAGAGGCTTCCAGATGTCCCCAAACTTCCACACGTGCTTCCCTGATGGGATCAATAAGCAGCCAGATAGGAAAGAAATGTAAAACCATCTCTGGGGCTCATCAGGGAGGCAGGGGGCCTGGGAGAACGGGCTCCCCGCCCCTGATGCTGGGGCTGCTCATTCTTTCTGGACGCAAGATGCGAGGTGT